TAGTGATTATGAGATAGGCGGCACATTTCAAGTGGTGAAGCAAATGGTGAAGATCATGATGATGGTGTGACCATGGTGATGATCAAGTGCTTGGACTCGGAAAAGAAGAAAGAGAAAAACAAAAAGCTCAAGGCAAAGGTGAAACTTGACAGGAGCTTTTTGGTTTGGTGATCAAGACACTTAGCGAGTGTGATCACATTTAGGATCGATAGCCATACTATTAAGAGAGGTGAAACTTGTATCAAAATGTGGCTATCAAAGTGCCACTAGATGTTCTAACTCATTGCATATGCATTTAGATCTAGTGGAGAGCTAACACCCTTCAAAATGTTTGTGAAAACATGCTAACACACGTGCACAAGGTGATACACTTGGTGGTTAACACTTTTTAGCAAGGGTGGAGAAGTTGGTGAAGTGGAGGAGTTGTTTTTCACTATTTTACAGTGACCGGACTCTGGCCACGAAGTGACCGGACGCAGGCCTGGTGAGTCCGATCAATTATAAATGAAGGTGGCGCGCTCGGGCTCTGTCTGTGGTGTGACCGGACTCAAGGTCAACTTGTGATCTGACATGATGGTGATGAGTCCGGTCATGATGACGTATGATGAGAAGGAGGAGAAAGAGGAGCGGACGCTGGACTACGTTTGATTGAGGTGCACCTGATGCGTCCGATCGCGTTTAGGTGGCTTTGGCACCTAACTGGAGTCAACCTGATGCGTGGTGGTTGAAGTGATCGGCGCGTCCAGTCACAATCTAGTGGCACGCGGGTTTGCGTTGATGTGACGCCAGGCAGGTGCATCCGATCGGCGCCTGGCACGTCCAGTCATGACTTAACGCGAGGTTTTGAATTTGACCATTGGAATCATACGCGCAAGGTTGAACGGAGGTGACACGTGGACGGCGATGACTGACCGGACGCTGAGGAATGCGTCCGATCATACCTAATCACCGTGTCCGGTAATCCCGAGAAAACATGCAGTGAGGAGCCCAATGGCTCTATTCATAGGGGGCTCCTATTTAAGCCCCATGGCTGGCTCAAGCTTACCCTCTTAGCCATTTGCATTGACATAGCAACCTTGTGATCATAGCCAAAGCCCTCTCACTCATCTCCATCATTAATTCATCATCTTTGTGAGATTGGGAGTGAATCCAAGTGCATTTCTTAAGTGATTGCATCTAGAGGCACTTGGTGTTTGTGTTTTGCTACGGGGTTCGCTTGTTACTCATGGTGGTTGCCGCCACCTAGATGGCTTGGTGCAGCAAGGATCATTGAGTGGAGGAAGGTGCTTGTCTTCAACTCCGATCGTGGTGATTGTGAGGGGTTCTTGACCTTTCTCCGACAGAGAGCCAAAAGGTACTCTAGTGGATTGCTCATGGCTTGTGTGATCCTCATCTTGTGTTGGTTGTGCGGCACCCTATTGAGGGTTTGGCGTGTGATGCCAATTAGCGGATGAACTTCCAAGTGAGTGAATCGCCACAAAAAGGACTAGCTTGCCGGCAAGCAAGTGAACCTCGGTAAAAAATCTTGTGTCATCATTGTCCTGATAATTTCTTGGTATTCATTGTGATTGATTGTCATCATCTTGTGATTGAATCATTCCTCGACACGTCGGTATAACTCACTATCCTTCTCGTGTATTTACTTTTCTAGTGTAGCTAAGCTCTTTAGTGTAATTAGTTTTGAGAGCTAGTTTGTGTCGTGTCTAGTGGTTAGTGAGGCTCTTTAGTTAGTCCTTGAGAGCTCACTAACTTAGTGTAGTGAAATAGCCTTTGTGTGCATAGATACTATAGATATTAGAATTGTGGTAGGTGGCTTGCTTTTTTAAGTAGGCTAGCGCAACATTCGCTTCGCCTCATATTTGTCTAACCGCTTTACTTAGTGTTGTTGTAGAACTTTTTATAGGATATTCACCACCCTCTAGCCATTAGGACCTTTCAGCAGGGATCCATGAAAGCTTGAGGTATAGTCCTTTATTTCTTGCTTGATTGATATGAGAACTCCATATGACTTGCTCCCTAAGCAAACTAGGGGTAGAGTCCTTATAGATTTGGATGCTCGGTTTTCTAAACAAATGCTATCTTCCTAATTTAAATTTATTCTTCCCTATATTATTCTGACTCTAATTGGATGTGGACTCCTCCTTAGGAAGAGGTCCAACCATCCAAGGGAGGACACTACCCCCCTCATGTGCTTGGCCAGGGCTAGGCTGGGCCAGGGCCTTGTCCAGGCCGCACTAGCCCACCATTAATAGAACTGTTTGGACCTATGATAGGATGGCATTATATGTTTTATTTTAGTTTTAGTAATTGCAAAATGTTTCAACTAAATAGAATAGTCCACTAACAAAGTATGATTAAGATTTGTGAGCACATGGTTAAAATCTGCCCTTGTGAGATGAGTGATGATTGATTGTCAAGAGATGACCAGTCATTGGTTGAGTGTTTGGACTAACCATGGCATGAGTATGGCGTTGTGCAACAAGTATCTTGGCTTGTGATAGGTGTAGGTGTTGAGCGTGGATACGGTCGACGACAATGGAGAAGGTCAAGCAAGTTTTGTGTCGATGGACTAGACTTAGTGAAGGATGGATGTGGAGGCATGGACCAACGGACCGAGGTGCTGGGGTGCCGGGGTGGATAGTGGATGGCTAACACTTGGTGACGTTGACAAGCAAGTGTACATGAGGAGACAGCATAGACGGTGTTAACCAAGTCAGGATAGTGGTTGACCAAGTCAAGCAGAGGCACGAGGACTTTGTGATCAGGCGGTCAAGGACAAGTGGTGACACGCGTTGAGATTGTGGAGGAAGCGTGGCAGATACGGACTCCAGCTGGGTTTGGTGGTTTCGTCCTCAAAATCACGAGGTGGATCTCGGGGAGGCACGTGGCATCACTAGAGAGCTTGCGTCCAGGCGAAGCATCTTCATGAAGGGATCATGGTCATCCGATGCTCTGAACTCAACTTGTACGATTATGCCCTTAGGGTTAAGTGGTTCAATCAAAATATCTAAGGGTAGGCTTGGACATGTGTATTAGCTCTATAAATAAGAGGAGGGCTGCCCCAATCAGCCATATCTTCGATTGTATTTGCTTTCAAGTCTCAAAGTTAGTTTCCTAAGTTTTAGCCAGAACCTGCAACTGCGGTGAGAGATTCGTAGATGAGAGATTGAGTACCTCTGTCTGCAAGAAAATAACTAGACCTTGTTGAATCTGATGTTGTGGCAATAAAGCAAGTTGTCCTCTGAATCTTTGTCTCGACCTTGTTTCAATTTGGTTTTTCTCCTCCCGGTTCCCCTCTGTTGAGCTTTTGTTGGAATTCTTGATTCTGAGTTTTTAGGGTGTTTTGGCCGGATGGATACATGGTAGGACCTCTAAGGAACATCCCTGCCTAATTCCTTGCGAGCACACGATTCGTCCTTTGGAAAAAAAGTTGAGAAAACCCTCTTTTCTTGATGGATTTATAGATCCGAGTTGATTTTTTAGGTGACGATCATAGGGGGATAGCTTCTAATCAACCTAGGAAACCCCTTTGCAAAGTTTGAAATCATTTAGAATTGTTTTGGATCCAATTCCACTTTTCCAAGAGTTTTTGCGGAGATCTGTGGCTTGAAGAACTGGCCAGCCCATTTTTCTAGGCGGCCAGTTCGGCCTAGCTGCAGTAGGCAAAAGTAGAACCGGCCAAGCCGGTTTTGTTCGGTGTGTTCCCCTCCATGGTGTGTTTTTGTCTGTTTCATTGCTCCGCTTGTTGTTCTGACTTCCTGTCTTTTCCGATCAGTTCTCTGGTATCTCTTTAGTGTATTCGGTTACCAATTTGCATGTGTGCACTTGTGTGGAAGCCTTTGGTGTTTTGAGAGGTTTGTTTTGGGCGGTGTTCGGACAATGGCGAAATCAAAAGAAAATTGGATTAGGCTCCCATTCACCGCCCCTCTAGCCGCCTTGCTTGGTCCTTCAAGATTTTCTCAAAGTACTCATGGAATGGTTCCATAAAAACTCCAGAAGCAACTAGGGGTATTGCATTCAACATTCTGATCCATAATCAGAGGTGGCACCCTAGGCTTGCAAGCTGATCAAGTGCAATCTGGCGATGCACACGCCTCGACAAGGTTCCTCTTAGAAGAGAACTTTAGGGATCCCTAATTTACTAGTTTTCCCAAGAACTAGTTTCTCATTGCCACGTAAGTGTGATTGGCATCCTTCGCTAATTTGTTTGAAAACCTAGCTATCGTTCACCACAAAAGCGTAAGATTTACCACTCTTGGGGAAAACTAGAGAATACCGGACTATCTAGTTTTTGAAACCGGATCACCTGGCTTGCTTTCATAATAACTTTATTAGTGATACAACAGATTAACATGAGTTGCGATGATTTATCATGATTGAATTCATCTTCAAACAGAAGTGCACTCACTACTGGAAACAGAGACTTTGCCGAGTGCATAATTCTTTACCGAGTTTAAAAAATCGGACACTCGGCAAAGACCTTCTTTGCCGAGTGTCGCACTCGGCAAAGAGTTTTTTGCCGAGTGCCAGACTCTCGGCAAAAGAGCGGCACTCAACATAGGCTGCCCGCGTAACGGTGTTCGGCCACGGCCTTCTTTGCCGAGTGCCTGCTGTTAGGCACTCGGCAAAGATTTAATTTTTTTTTTTAAAAAAATTCTTTGCCGAGTGTCTCAGATCTAGCACTCGGCAAAGATTTAATTTTTTTTTTTAAATTTCTTTGCTGAGTGTTCCAGATCTCGCACTCGGCAAAGATTTAAAAAAAACAACTTTGCCGAGTGCCAGATCTGGGACACTCGGCAAAGAAATTCTAAAAAAAAAATTAAATCTTTGCCGAGTGCCAGATCTAAGACACTCGGCAAAGAATTTTTTTTTAAAAAAGAATTAAATCTTTGCCGAGTGCCTGCCTCATCTGGCACTCGGCGAAGGAGCGGTTGGGACTTATTAAACGCTTTCGGCCGTCCGGGCAGTCAAGCAGACAGCCGCAGCCAGCCACCGCGCCCATGCCGCCCCGCCCCCACCCCCGCGCCGCGCCCACGCCGCCCGGCCGCCCGCGCGCCCGCGCCGCCCACCACCACTGCCCGCGCCAGCGCCGCCGCTGCCCGCGCGCCCGCGCCGTCTGCCCCACCGCGCCAGCGCCGCCCGCGCGCCCGTGCCAGCGGCCAGTTCATTCACCGCAACGCAGCAAGCAGCAGCCAGCAGGACGGAGCAGAGAGGCCAAGCCACTGAGACGGGCAGACGGCGACTCGAGCACTCGGCGAGACTCCACCGCGAGCACGCAAGACCGTGGAGCTGGGCTACAAGACGGCAGCGAGCGCCTTCAGCTTCGGATCATCTGCCTCCATCAAGGTGAGTGGCCTTCTGCTTGAGGACTCGGACCCTATAGAGTTCCAATGCCTGTTGGATTGCTAGCTAGTACCATAAATATCAACACCAGGGCATTGCTTATTAATGCGGTTCTTTGATAGCATAAAATGTAGTTAGTTTGATGCATATATCAGCTGATTGGATCGAAACGAATTAAAATAGCATGTTGAATTGCTGATGCATATGGCCCTGCTAATTTTGACTGTCAAATCAAAAGTTCATTACTGCATAGCGTCGTCAGGTCAGGGCTAGCTTTACCATCCAGCAGCATATCTGTTTGTGCTGAACAAGGAGCCTTAGTTCTCCTACCTTCGGTGCAGTACCAAATTCTTATTTTTGTTTTTCAGTTCCTATCAGCCATGATAAAATCATAAAATACATGAAATGATTTTATTGTATTTTTAGATCAGAAACATGGATGATGAAAAGGGGGAATTGAACTGACTGTACTTAGTTTTCTAAGATAGTTCAGATTGATTAGTTCTACCTTGTGTGTTGAGTCGAGATGCAATGTTGGAGGGGAATTTAGTATGCTTGTACCTTGTCGCTTTGCTTGCTCTTGCAGTATGATTTATTGGTATACCTGATACATGTAGAGTACTTGAAGCTCAAATGGTGCAAGCTAGGACAGAGCTAAGCTAGTTTCGTATTGACGCTATAGTTGTTTGTCGGCTGGCTGGCTGTGACTTTGTGAAATGAGCATCATGTGGATTTATTTAGTGTTATTTGGGGTAAGCTTTTTCAAAAGCACAAGCTGCTCAAATTGAAATGCTGGATCAGAGTGACGAGTCCTGATTTTATTAGGTTGGCAGTGACGGCTCCTGCTTTTCCTGTTCTATCCAAATGAATCTCCATGTCTTGGATAATCATAATCAGCACCCACCATCTTGCGCGCGGTCACCGTAGGAACAGGATCGGGTGCCGGTCTGCCGGAGTTAGCTCGCTCCATAGAATTGATTTGCAAGGTCTATGGCTGTGGTCATTGAAATCTCAACCCCCATAGAAACCAGAATTTTCAAGTAGCAGTTATATAGTTTGGTTTAGGGGAATTTTACTCTGATAAACTGGGTCTGTGTCAAAAACCAGTAGATCATCTAGGTAACACCAACAGATTGTCTTCGTTTTTAGTTGCCATTCACCAGATAGGAAACAACCGGTTCATTTTACTTGGGTTCTCTTTGAAGGTGCACTTGCTTAGTGTTTTGCATTAGCTGGGTTTATTGGTTGTAGAAATACAGTTACACAGATCGAGTTTGATTACTCTCAAGGGAGGTTCTTCAGGTTCTGATGTTCTATATTAGTTATCTTCTTTCATTCACTATAGCATCCCTGTTTTTTACATATTCCTCAAGACCAGTTGATTGAATTTTCAGAATGCTTAATCACAGGTCACACAGTCAACGGATTTCACTGAGCTTGCAAACCAGGAGCCATGGCTCTCATCTATGAAGTTGGTTCTGAAACCTGACATGCTCTTTGGGAAACGTGGGAAGAGTGGACTTGTGGCCCTCAAGCTAGATCTTGCCCAAGTTCGCCAATTTGTTAAGGAGCGGTTGGGAGTTGAGGTACTGTCATGACTAGCATCTTGCCATGCTTTTTTTTGAAGGTCATCTTGCCATATGCTTTTACCAGCACAAACCTGATCGTTAAAGCTATTTATAATCTATATGACTGAATTTGCTCATGTATCTAGGTCGAGATGGGTGGCTGCAAAGCTCCAATTACAACCTTCATAGTTGAGCCATTTGTGCCGCATGACCAAGAGTATTACCTTTCGATTGTATCAGAAAGGCTTGGCAGCACCATTAGTTTCTCAGAGTGTGGAGGTATTGAGATCGAGGAGAACTGGGACAAGGTTAAGACTATCTTTCTTCCCACATAGAATCAAATGACACCTGACGCATGTGCTCCATTGATCGCCACCCTGCCATTGGAGGTCAGCTATTGCACTGTTACTTGTTTATTTATTATACCATTTGTTTTGTTCCCAGTAAGGCTTGGAACTCGTTGCTGCTGGTCATTCTCAGATTCTTGATTAACCATCAATTCTCAGTTGATTCTCATTGATGATCCGTGCTTGAATTTCAGGTCCGCACAAAAATAGGTGATTTCATTAGAGGTGTATTTTCTGTTTTCCAAGGTACCTCACCCTTGCTTTTCAAAGGCAGACAGTTTGTAGTTGTTGCTTTTCCGGTTTCAACACTCAACGTGTGATGCTCTTTGGTTCTTTTGCAGACTTGGATTTCTCATTTCTTGAGATGAACCCATTTACCTTGGTAAATGGTGAACCGTATCCTCTGGATATGAGAGGAGAACTAGATGACACAGCTGCTTTCAAGAACTTTAATAAGTATGATTCAGGCTTTTGATGTACCTCACAGATCCCAGTTGCTTCCTTCATATTAGTCATACCAGCCATATTTATGTGAAAAATATAGGTTTTTCTACTGTATTGCTAATCATAATGAGTGCACGTTGTATTTTTTTTCATTTGTTGTTCACTTGGTGATGGACTTGTGATGCCCTTGTGGACTTTGATGGACTTGCGGATTTATTTGGATGGACTTGAGCACTTATTATTATATATGTGATATATATTGTGATGGATGTGATATGTGCGGATGGATGTGTAGATGGATGAGATATATATATGTGATGTATGTTTGTATGAATTTATTTGGCATGATGGAATGTAAAAAAATTAAAATTGCCATTTTGGGTCACTTTGCGAGTGCCATGGTCACAAAGACTCGGCAAAGTGAAAATGGGCGCCCGAAACCAGTTTTTCAGCTTTTACCGAAAGTCTTGACCATGGCACTCGGCAAAGAAATTTTTAAAAAATTCCAACTTTGCGAGTTTGAGACGAACCAGCAAAAATTAAAAAATAAAAAAATCTTTTCGAGTGCTCGACCATGGCACTCGGCAAAGAATTCCCACAAAAAATTAAACTTTGCCGAGTGTAGGGAGAGCAGCACTCGGCAAAGCTGACATAACTTTTCGACAAAGAGAGAGGGCACTCGGCAAAGAAATTTAAAAAAAATTAAAAAAATATTTGCCGAGTGCAGGCAAGAGGGCACTCGGCAAAGAAATTTTGTAAAAAAAAAAAAAAATCTTTGCCGAGTACCTCAAGGCTTGGCACTCGGCAAAGAAATTTAAAAAAAAATAAAAAATCTTTGCCGAGTGCATTAAGGGTTGGCACTCGGCAAAGAATTTTTTAAAAAAAAATAATGCCGAAAGTGCCGTAGGGTTGGCACTTTTCGGCAAAGAAAAAAATTTAAAAATAAAAATCTTTGCCGAGTGCCTGGAGGGTTGGCACTCGGCAAAGTGACCGCATAACGGAACCGCGCCCGTGACGGTCGCTTTTCTTTACCGAGTGTCACGGGCAATTCGGCAAAGCCTTTGCCGAAAGTGCCCGATAAAGACACTCGGCAAAGAGGGCTTTGCCGATCAATTTTTGCCGTGTGTTCTTTGCCGAGTGTCACACTCGGCAAAGGCTTTATCGAGTGCAATTTGACCTTTGCCGAGTGCCTCAGGCACTCGGCAAAGAACCTGAATCCAGTAGTGACTATTGCACTAAGCATCAACAACAAGAAGTAGACTTGATGTGTCTTTTGCGTTTCATTTACAACAAAAAATTGTTATTGCAATCATAATTAGCCGGTATTCATTTAGATGTGAACATGCTGATAAAATGCAAATTATAAATATGTTCTTTACTTTCAATACAATAGCAATGATATCTTATTATAACAAGTTCTGGCAGGGATTATCGTATATATTTTTAATTATCCCCAGTCTGTTAGCATCACAAGTAGCACAAGACTTGTTTTGCTCATCTTGATACACTACGGAGTTTATCCTTCAAACTCAAGCCTTTGCAATCGCAACGAACTGCTTCCCTACATTTCTCCCGGAGAAGAACCCGATTAGAGCCGCCGGCGCGCTCTCGATCCCCACGACGACGTCCTCTACGATGGCCACCTTCCCCTCCTTGATGTACCCAGCCATCTCCTCCTCGAAACTCGCGTACACGTGGAACCAGCCACCGACGTTGAACCCCTCCACCCTGGTGGCCTTAGGGACGATACAGAACAGGTTGCGCAGGCCGTCGGGCTCCTCCAGGTTGTACTGCGAGATCATCCCGCAGACGGCGACCCTGCCGCCATGGCGCATCTGCAGCAGCGCGGCGTCGAGCGTCGCGCCGCCGACGTTGTCGAAGTAGATGTCGATGCCGTCGGGGAGGCACCGCTTCAGCGCCGCGCCGAGGTCGGTCTCGGACTTGTAGTTGAACGCGTCGTCGAAGCCGAACTTGGTCTTGAGGAGACTGACCTTCTCGTCGGAGCCGGCGCTGCCGACCACGTAGCAGCCTGCGATCTTGGCGAGCTGCCCGACGACCTGGCCGACGGCGCCTGATGCCGCCGAGACGAACACGAAGTCGCCCTTCTTCGGCTTCCCGACCTCGAAAAAGCCGACGTATGCAGTGAGCCCTGTCATGCCTGGAGACGGTGGTTAACTCTGGATCAGCCGGCAAACCAGAGAAACATTGCAAGCTAGTACTCCTAGACAAAGGGCCTATTATTTGGATCCTATGAATTGAAATCAATATCTAGAAAGTGCTTCCCATTTTATTATTAAATTACTTTTCAATTTCTCTCAATTAAGAGGGCCTAATTAAATTGGATGTGACCTTGGATCATAACTAGCTAGAGCATCTGCAGCTGAGGGGGTGGGAGAATAACTATTTTTGTGCCCTATACGAAAGAAATTTGGAAACAGCTACCCACTTATTCATTGAGTGCCCTTTCTCCGGTCTGGTATGGAGTCAAGTTGCAGCATGGAGTAACTGCCAAAATTTGGGGCCGCCACAACGGACAGATGGGTCGGGTTGTGAAGGTTGGTTCATGGCTGTGACCAGAGAAGGCACCAAGGCTGCGCACACACCCAAGACAATCTCACCTTGTGGTGCATCTAGAAACAACGTAATGCAGTAGTCTTCAGAGAATCAAGACGCACGGCTCATGCAGTATCCATGGAAGTCAAGGGTGTTTGTTCCCTTTGGTCCATGGCTGGGAGTTTTCTCTTGCCCCATTTAGATCGTAATTTGTCTTTGAATAATTAATCTAGAGCTCTTAACCACTACAGCGGTCTGCTCAAAGTGGTAGCGCCTCTTGTGCTTAGCTTGTATACACAACTAGAATTTTAGACTTCTCCTTGTAAGATGGGCTTCTCCTAGTGTTTTAGCGTTCAAAATTTAGTATAAATTTTTCCTACTAAATGCCTCCTAGTGAGATTTTCATGTGCTATGACTAGTGGTAGTGTTTTATTACTACTTAAAAACACTAGGAGAAGTCCTAGGGATAGGGGTCACTGGACCCTGAAAACTCTTCTTAATCAATAATATTCCTGGCATCCGGATATTAAAAAAAATAGCTAGAGAATCATGCTCATCTATGATATATAAGACCAAGTCTCTTGATTACCGTGCATAAAGTTTCTTTCTTTCTACAAATTTGCAAACAAGTGCACACCTTATTTTATGGCTTAGCACATTGACCACTACATTGCCTTCATCACAAAATGATATTACACATTCAGGCCATTTCTTATGTCAACCATAAGCCATGACGATTGTTTTATGTGCATACGTAATCCATGACACCTGGCCTTATTTGTTCACCTTTTTATTTGCTTAATTATTCGGAAGAGGAGGACTGAGGTGAACTTCTGTGTAGTGGAATTGCTGACTTCTTCAAAGTTCAAACACAACAACTGATTGATTGCGACTAATGGCTAGATTGCACAATTTGATCCTGTGTGGTCCCAATAAGCCATTGGCCTTTGTACCAGTGCTGCAGATTGGACTACAATGTTTTCGGAAGAACACAACAAAGGCTGTCGATTTGTAAAGAACAATTTCATTTCTGGTTGTGGCATTTGCACGAATAACAAGTGTATTTATTATAAAAATAAAATAAAAGATGACATGGTAGGCTAGGATCATTTATTGGTATTTTTTTGAACTAAAGTACATGCAGACGAGATTGAAGAAGTCACCATATGTGTCTTGTTGTCGACAGGCACGTCACCGACCGCTGAAAAAAGAGCACGCTAAATCCTAGAATCATTTGTTAAAAAAAAATGAAAACATCCACGTCAAGTGTTGAATCTGAACCTAACTAGCTTCTCACTTTACGGATAGTTTATTTATTTGCTTTCAATATCTGATTTATGCCAAAAGATTATTTACTTTTAGAAATTCATGTCCAATACTTTTAAGAAACAGTAACCATTTGCACAACTAATTGTGGCACAACTCACAAGAACGGCATAGCTTGATTTCAGCATTAATGAAAAACTTACAAATTACTATATACTCAAAAATGGGGAACAATATTTTTATTTAGAGAAAGAGAGAGAGAAAGTACTAAAAAATAGCTTGATCTCAACATGACTTTTTTCTTGAGCCAAAATTCAATTTTAAAACCCTATAACTAATTGAGCACAGTGCTTTTGTTCTTAAGTCTCAACCGGCAAACACCTTTTCTTACACAAAAACGACATGCCCTAGAACATTAATTAATATATTTGACCCCTCTAGTTCCATAAGTCATGCCAAAAATTGATAACATCAAAACTACTGTCCACTATTGCCTTGGGTCTTATTCTGTCGTCTCAGCCAGACCTCATCTTCCTTTTATCCCTCGAGTAGCTGTTTCTTTTTCCAGTAGTTTCTGTTTTTCTACTTTGTTTGTACTCCCAGTATTTCAAATTATAAGATGTTTTAACTTTTTAGATACATAGTTTTTACGATGTATCTAAATTTATATACACTTTGTCTAAATACATAATTAAAACAATATAACTATAAATCTATAAATACCAAAATGTCTTATAATCTTTTTTTAGAGGAAAATGTCGTACTCCCTCCGTCCTATAATACAATGCATTCTATAAATTTTAGGATAAATTAAAAGAGAGCCTAAAAGACATATATACCCTCATTTTATTTTCTAATCGGACGCTATCATCAACATGATTGATGGTGATTGGTTGATAAATGGAAAGTATTCAACGCAAAACTGGTTTTTGTCCTCTAGAATGTATTATATTTGAGGACAAATTTTGAATGTTAGAATGAGCTATATTACAGGACGGAAGGAGTATAATTTTAAAATGGTGGGGGTACTGATTCCTTCGTCTAATAAAAATAGCAGTAAATCTTGCCGTCTTTAATAAAGAAAAAAATTAACTGTGTGCCCTTTTTAACATAAGTTTGGATACCCCTCGTTGGCCTTATTTTAACCTTTTGATGTCTTGTCGGTCTTTATATCGTTGACAATTTTTACAAAATCATTGCCATATATTCATAAATTTCAAAAAGGCGAAATATTGAGGAGCTAGAGAGGTTATTTTGCTCTTGGGTTTGAACTAGAAACGTTTCCCATTCGTGATCGAGATAGTGTATTCTTAGAGCATGTACAATCCACAGGCAGGGGATCATCTCTAAGAGGCTAAAATCTTACATACAATTGAAAAGACAGGTCATACGACCCATAGACAGAGAGTTATCTACGAACAATTTAATGCTTTTTTTGCAGTCAAGATCAATCGTGAACATCAATTTGTATACCATTGTGTTGTCGTTTGATGGAAGACGTTCAAGCATAAATAGGATGACCTGAATCCAATCATAGAACACTACCTGAATCCAAGCATAGTGGTAGCAGATAGTTCATCAGACAAATTTGTAAGTTTCAGGGATGACCTGAATCCAATCATGCCATACACATCCCATGAATCGAACTCTTTTGGCATCTTCTCAGAACCTTGGGAATGCTTGAAATCAGATGCAATTGTGAGGAAACAATCGCTCAATCAAGCAGGCAACAACTTCATCAACATCCAGGGTCTATCTCTATCCACGCAATGTTTTAAATAGCAGGCTAAGGTGTTTAGTGGTATATCTTTAAAACAGCTAATAGCGGAGCTATATTGGGCTATAGCGGGATATAGCGGCTAAATTATACATGACCTCAAATAGCGGTACCCTGCCTCAAAAGGCTATAGCGGGCACAGGGAGGCAGTGTGGGCAGCAGCACAGGGAGTTGCAAGCACGCTGTCACATAGGCAAGCAGTCGCTCAACCAACTCGCCCACGCAGCCCACGGCGGTCGGTGGGAGCGCCCACGCAGCCCACGGCGCCAAGGCGGAGCTCGCTCGTCCGTGCAGTCCATGGTGGCCCGTGGGAGCTCGCCGACGCATCTTGTTTGGTGTGGCAGAGCTCGGCCGCTAAAGATGCCAGAGCTTGCCGCACCGCTCCTTCCCTGGCCACACCGCTCTCGTCTTCCCAGACCCGCGCCTCCCATGCTCATCTTCCCCGCCCTCGTCGCATCCTCCTCCTCGCTAGAGCAGCTTCATAAATCTCCTACAGCAAACTTGCTAGTGGAAGACAAGAGGGGAGGAAGAGATTTTGGCGGGGAAGATAGATGTGGCGATGGACTTTTGCCGCCATGCCAGCCGCACTAGAACCGCGCGCGCACGGGATCCGCAAGCCGTCGAGTCAGGGAAGCGATCCGTACAACGCTGCTGGAGCCGATGTGTCGGCCTCGAGCTATATCCGACACCTCATGAGACGACGAGGCCTCTGTCTCTTAGCTTCAGCGGAGTCTTTTTTGCGAAAAGTAAATCACGAAGACGGGTGAAATCGACCTGTTATACATGCCCTTAGGTAGCGTTTGGATGAGAGGATGAGAAGGGACGGGATGGAATGGACCCGGGATGAGCACCGTTTGGTTTCGAGGCAACCGGTGGCGAGGACGTCCCACGAGCGAATATTCGCCCAAGATCCGGGCTCGCCTCGCCCCCAGAAAAACAGCGGACGGGGGCGTCCTCGGTGGGACGAGCCGCACACACGCGTGAGAAGAATCGAAGAGAGGAGTGGGGGCTTGCCGCAGTTGAGGAAGAAGCAGGAACTCACCGGAGTTGCCGGAGTCGAGGAAGATGCGAGCGACCATTGGAGCAAGGGCTCCGCCCCTGGCGCTGTCGTTCCCAGCCCCGGTGAGATCCGCCCCTGGCGCAGTCGTGCCCAGCCCCGGCGAGCCGTGAGGAGGTCCTCGGCGCGAGCTCTGGGGCCAGCCCTGCCGTCGCCGCGAGAGCTCCAACCCCACCGGCGGAGGATGCTCGGGGCACCGTGCAGAGGAAGCCCAGGGCAGCGCGCGTCCTAGCTCTGGCGGAGAAGGCGTGGGGCAGCCCTGCTGTGAGTCACCGGTGGGTGAGCCAGACCTGTTGCACGGTCGTGCGGAGTCGCGTGGAAAGCCACAGAAGGGATAAGGAGAGAAAAAGAAAATGGAAAAAATAAAAAACTGACAAATGGGCTCCACTTGTCATTCACTTATCCCACTTTTAATGTCTCGAAACCAAACATAAAATAGGTTAATTTCAACGCTACTCAACCAAACAGATAATGGAGTCGTTTCATCCGACCAATGAGATTGA